TAAATTAAAGTTTTTTTATCACAACAGGCTCTTGTGAGCTTTACCAAAGTGAGTGGACCCACATCATCCACTGCTGAAGTGCACTGTCCATGAAGTTACCATTATATACCAGTGGTCACACTGTACAGCGATCAGGCAGAAAACTGAGAAAGTACTGTAAATCACCAATTGAAATAAGGGCAATTTAGGTAGGCAAAAATGGGTAAGGCCCCCCATAAGGAAATAAAACAAGAACACAGGGTTAACACCTCTGCTCTTATGAACAGGACTGGGGCATTGGGCTATGCAAATTCTGGTCCAGAGTTCAGAGTGCCACCTACTGGTCCATCAACACCAGCTGCTAGTTTTTCCAGGTTTTCTATTTTATTTAGCGGGTTCCCATCCCAGTAATGACCAAGACCATCTTTGCTGAACTTTTGAAATCTGACAAGATCAGGCTACACAGTAGGAATGCTGCGGTTATTTTTTTCAACAAATCAAACACAGACACTGAAGCTGGTGTGCAATTTATTATTTCAGGTATGGTCAATTTTGTTTCATGTTCTGCAGAAAAAAAAAACATCTGTCCATAATTAAATTTGAACTGTACGGTTACTTTCAAATGTTGTCATATTTAAAGGTGAAGGTACAAAAAGTATTTGAAAACTGTTTAATCAATGCATTTTACAAATTATTTAGGATCAGAAGATAATTGTATTTTTCGATACTGATTAAACTAATGTAGATTTGAAGTAATTATGATTCTGTATTTAACCCCCCTGTCTATGCTGACATAATGTAAACAGTTCTAAGGCAACCTAGCCTAGATAGTGTCTGGGTGGTATGATGCATATTCCACTACTTAATTCAGTAGTTCAGTTAGATTCTAAAAATGCAGAGAGAGACGAGATATGCAAAGTGTATCTGACGCAGCTCGCCTGGCTGAGGGAATTGGCACCCCTTGCAGTATTGTAAGGAATGAGCCAGGGAGCTGCAGCAGGGGTGTGGATGGGGTGGGTGGAAGGTATATGAGCGCTACAGGAGCTCGGGTGCGAGTCTTACTGTATATACTGTACGTAGCCAAGCGGAAGTGTTCTAGATTAGGATCCCACAGTCCTCCCGAATTTCCGTTATAACTCCATTTATGGTCTAAACTGTACACAGAGGGAAAAGTAAACTTCTAATGATCTGTGCTTCTCTATCGTTTTAGCTCCAGCTTGTTTCAAAAGAACCTTGTTCTTCCTAATCCATTTGGTATATCACTGTGTGAGCTGTGGCTTGAAATTCAATATGCGAGGGAATCTACAGAGACAGATTCATTTACTCTGCAGACAATTCAAACCACTTTAACACACACAGTCCATTACATTAATTCTGTGAACTTTTAAACTTCTCTTTTGCAGTTCAACTGATTTAGGGTTGCTGTAGCTAAGTGGTTTAATAGTTATGCAACTATTAAACTGTTTGAAAAACAATGCTTGTTTACAAACTATTAGCATTTATGAGTATGAAGCAGATTGTGTAGATCCTAAATACTGTATTGTCTTATTTGAAAGTGTCATGATTGTAAACTCAGACATCAACAAAATGTGATAAATACCAAGTCTGAATAACACACCTGGGGCTAAACATGTCTAGCAAAGACTTCAGAGCCAAACTGATATTGAAATATTATAGAGCAGGAGTCAGATGTGCAAGGTGACCTCTACATTATAAACAAGAAAATTAAATATGTATTTTTAAATTCTAATAAAAATATACAGAATACTTAGGAACAAGTTATAGGTTTATTCCATCCTGAAAAAAAGAAGAAAGAGAACACAATGTTTCGGCCGTGGAGCCTTCTTCAGGTGTCAGGTGTCAGGCTCCACGGCCGAAACGTTGTGTTCTCTTTCTTCTTTTTTTCAGCATGGAATAAACCTATTACTTGTTCCTTTGTAGCCTACGCATGCTGATGCAGCTACCCACCTGAACTACTACAGAATACTTAGCCCTGCTTTAATGAATTATTATAACACATTATCCTAATTGGCATTAGCAAGAGAATGTAATACAAATATTGACAACTTCTTTTTTGTAAAGGACAAAATTTAATAACACAAGCTAGCAGTGCGCGCTCAGGCTGACATACTGTATGTCGTTTCTACAGACTACACTTCTTACCACCAGGACCGAAACTTACAATGGTGTGAAGTCAGCTCCTGCAAGCCTTCCTAAGTACGGCAAGTAAGCTAACACCGTTTCACATGAGTCACATCGCCTGCTGAAAGGGCTGTGAACAAAGCTGCTTTACATCATCACTCAGCGAGTCAGAGAAATGGAGCATCTCAGTGAAAGCACCGGTGGACGCCTGGAAAGCACTGAGATGGTCACTGAACGTCGCAAACGTCGCAGGCTGCAGAACACCAGAATTGTTTCGCAAAATTATAATCAGCAGATAGAGATATTCATAGAGTGACAGAGATACAGTCTGGCGTACGTGCCTTTTTCAGAGAATTGGGAAAACAAATATTGCTCTGTTTTTTAGAAACAAGCAATTTACGTAAGTGAATGTTTTTCATATAATAGGCACAGACTATTACAGTATAAATGGGAGTGAATCTGTACAAAATGCAAGACAATAATCACATTTACTCATAGAAAGTACGCACATATATTTTCGTCGTTGACTGCATAATATCCACATGGCTTCTAGCTTTCTGGTATTGAAACGCTAAACTGGAGCTTTTTATTAAAAAAAACATTAATAAAATAACTTGGATGATGATCCAATCTGACAGAACAGCAGCATTAGTTGAATTGCAGTGTTGTATTGATGTGGCCCAGGCCAGCCCACTTAAGAAGCACAGCAATGTTACCAATATACCCAGTGTGCATGACTGAGGCAGGGAGCACAGAGCAGCCGATACAGTATATCTAGATGGTGATGAGCAGACATTGACCACACCAGCCTCAGATGTACAGGGCTGTGAAGGCATGACAGTCTTCATGGTTTGTGGCTGTCACTAGAGATGGTTTGAGAGAGAGAAAATACACAGCGCATGAAAGAATCTTTGTGGTGCAATCTGGAAAAGTATTCAAAAAAGCAAAATGCACTGCAACTTGCCAAGAAGCTAACACATATGATTGAAGAAGTACTATAAATGTTCTGGCTCCCTATACCCCCGAAAACTGCGGTTTTAAGTTAAATCATAGAACATGCTCGTACATTAAGGGTCATCCGATCCCCAGGATAACAAGAAAGGAATGGCTGTGTTTACAATAGACCCAAAGCATAACAATATCTTTAAAGACATAGAATGCTTTTATGTTTCTCCCCCAAAAAAAGTGTCAGCAGTCCGCTGAGTGATCATAAACTGATATCTTTTTCCTGACAAACGCAAGATGATACCAAAGGAGCCATTGAGGACGGTAAGGCTGTAAGGTGCTGTTCATTTTACAATCGCTATCATTTCACCACACATCTTTCATGCAGATGTTTGCAGTACTGCCCCTGCCTTGGGACCAGTCGAGATATTAGTTGTAGCCCGGCTATATTTTTACAGCAATAACTGGATGAGACTGAGTCAGAGGCTGCAGCTGGAGACTCTGAGCCTGTCTGACCTTTTTCAGTAAACCTACACAAAGTTATTAGACAGCCTACTCTTTATTTACCCATTTATTTTGGTGAAGTGCCCCAAACTATGTTAAAATATTTCCCTGTATACTAAGGTGGAACATACGATAGTGTCCCCTGAATCTTATTTTTCAACTATAAAATGTAGATTTAACATTTAATATTGTATAAGTTTTAAGAGCATGGCCACTGTCATACACTCAAATATACTTCAGATCAATAAGGATATTGCTCCAGGAGAATAGCAGATGTTGTGAATATTAAGGCAAAATTATTCATGCACAAGGCCAGAGAATTTCACTGGTAATTCAAGAAAAATATCTCATCAATCATTTTGTTCAAGCCTGGATAAAGGGGTTTGTGTGGTGGTTTAAAAAATATTCTAAAGTGTAGTAATGCACATGGCAGAAGATAGACTTTTACTCTACGTAATTCATGAATATACAGTACAGAGGAGAAAGCAACTCGCACACTTTCCATAATATTTTCATAACTTAAGGGTGGCCTTTAAGTGTATTTTTCCATCTAAATTAGCAGTTTAATGGATGATATAATAGTGCCCACTTTTTTATCAGATGTGATCTTTGAGTTGCAGCTCGTTTTTTATACAAAATCTCCTTAGAGAGATGCAGCACATAGGTTACAGACTGTGAGGAAATGTATCATTTGACAGAGCAGTCTTTGCATGCACTTGAAGTCTGTGTCTTAGAGATTAGGCATAGGAAGTACAGCACATGCAATTGAAAATCCATGTGGGTGGGCAAGCATATGTGGCTGTCTGGATTAGGAAGTGGTAGACCACATTTTTTATTACAAAAATGTCTTTATAATATCATACTCATGGGAGTACGCCAGCCCTTTCACAAGCTGATAGTGTCTCAAAGTTGCTTACTTGCTTGTTCTTTTTTAATTTGGCTAGAGCATTCCATGATTAGTGTGCAAAGTAATCCCAGATATTTTCCTTTTACATGCAAAATGCCCATTTCGTCTCACGATTCCTCCGTTTCATTTCGCTGTCCAATGTTTTACTTTTAAGTTATTGTTTAGAACTCTTGTCTCAGCTTCAGCAGCACCCAAATGGCTCGTATCTGGCTGAAAAGCATCAGATAAGCAGCGATGCCAGTGTTAATGGAGCATTAAGTACTGTACAGTAAGTGACAGCTCCATGTGTAAGTGTGTGTAGCTGAAATGGAAAGTCAAGTAAGACTAGGTTTACGATATGAAACCTTAATATTAATTAACTTAGTGTATGAGGTTATTATTACAGGACCAATAATTAGTTTTATTTTCCCAGAATTAATTTATTTTCTGTATAGTAGGAATGAGAACCATTATTCCAGACCACTGGCTAATGTCTCAGCATTTATATCAATGTTGAAATGTATTTGAAATAATTTGGCTTTACCTGGCAATGGAATATATACTCTGGAGTGGTTTTCTTGAATTTCATATTCCAGACTAACGCAACCCCATCAGGCTCATGTGGGGCATCTTCATTATTATTATAAGAGGCCACCAACAGCTCAGGATACTGGGAATAGGGAACAAAAGAACATTGAAATGTTGCAATAAAATATTCATTTTTAAAATGTAGGTGCTATCTAACCTTCTAGCAGAAGCAAATTATTTTCACTGAAAAAGATACTGAATTTCTTTTAAGGCTTGAAAAGAAATTAAAAAAAACTCATACCTGTGGAGACCAGTCCAGGCAAGTGACAACACGGTGCTTGGACCAGTGTTCATCATAAAACAGGCGGCTGAAGGAGAGATTGGATCCCGCCTGAGTGTCCCTAAATATTTCAAATAAAATAAAAGCATCTGAGAAATCTGATCTCCAGATTTAAGACAGAATTTCAAACATCACGGGGCTCGATTTTTAGAGATGAGTGTGTGCAAGCCCATAGCTTTTACTAAAATTCTCCCTTTAGAATTCAACTTACAGATCTACAGCAAGGTGATATTATAATAACACACTTTTAAATACTAAACAAAAAGATGCCACTTACTGAGCTGATGCAACAGGAAAGAGCATTCATAGAATATCTACGCTGCAGGAAAGCTAACAACAGAATTGAGTTTCTGTTTTAGGGATTCAAACTGCAAAATGGCATAAGCTGTGAGCTGTGTGCAAATGGCCCCCCATCACCTTAAATGTATTCGCAAGAAGTCTTGAGACTTGATTGTGAAGGAAGAAACTCATAAACACTTTTTGGCACTATTAAAACATCTTCCTGTCCCCTGGTAATACATTAAGCAGATTGGAATATTCAGAATGGGAGGTGAAAATGAATTCAAACCTTTAACGCTCCCTCAGCCAGCACAAGGCAAACACTTGTTCTGTTTAGTTAAAATGCAATTTCAGAAAGTGAGTAACGGAATGAATCACATTGGTTAACAAACACCAACAAAGGTTGACAATGGCAATGAATTAAAAAATAGGATATTCTTTCACTATCACATCTATATGAAGGAGAATGATAAGAATGATGGCCGGTTTACAAGCTAAGCAATGGCAGCTCCTCAGTTTCACCATGCTGAATTTAGTTCAAGTACAGTAGGTACAGTAGCTGCCCCAGCATGCGTAGGCTGTAAAAGAACAAGTAAAGGTTTATCCCATGCTGAAAAGAAGGACAGAAGCAGACTGGCCACTCAGGTATGAAGAATGAAGTGAGAGAGGTGACGAGAGGCGTGAAGTCAAAACCTGCATTTTTCAAAGCCAAAAAAGTAAAAAAAAGTCAAATTTGAAAACAAAGTCAGACTCGCAGGTTCTTACTTCTCTCCTTCTCCCGCCTCCTCTCCCCTCCCAGCTTTTGTTCTCCCATCTTTATCAGCTGCTGACTTTCCTCTCTTTCTCACTGCCAAGGAAGGCTCCACAGCCGAAACAGTGTGTTTCTTTTCTTCTATTTTTATGCTGAACTTATATGAGCATCAATTTCCTATTTCTTCTCAGTCACTGATGGGAGCATCAGAGCATTCCTTTGAAGCGTAGTGAACAGGAGTACAAAGGCTGTAACATCCTGAGTAAATATGTTACCGCCCGTGACCTCGAGCCTTATCAATCCGAGTGTCAGAAGGAGGAATAGCTCAGCATGCTGTGGTGCATCAACATGGCCGCTCTCTGATCTTTTTTCAGGGGAGGACGGAGCCAACAGAGTGAGCTCACCCTTCCTTCTCCTCCAGGTCCCGCCCGCTGTAGTCGAAGAAGATGTCCGAATCCTCCGCCAGGGCGCGCTCCATGACCCGGATGGTTCGGTCAAAGAAGATCAGGAACTCCTCCGAATGAAGGACCTGCTGCTTCTCCTCCTCCGTGAGCTCCCGGGGATGGGCTTCGGCACGCAGTGGGAACAGACACAGCGAAAGAGAGAAGGAAACCCAGCTCAGCCTCCCAGGCCAGCTGCCGAACAGCGGAAGGAGTTGGAGAAAGGAACATGTTCTGGAAAAGGAACATGTTCTGAACTGCCTTCACTGCCCTGCACGAGAGCGATCATTCGGTCTGCAACTGCCATGGGAGTGCTGGATCATTTTTACATTTTTTATCTTACAAACATAAAAACCAACAAAACACAGGAAAACAGATGTGAAAATGTATGCCATAACATTCTCTTGTCTGGTTGGCACTATTGAACGCGTCTGAGGCACGAGAAGAGTTCAGTTAGGCCTGGTTCCATTATGCTAAGACAGCAGGCAGACAACATTAGGAAATGCACTTATGGAAGTGAGAAGTTTAGCTGACTGAAAAATCTGTGACTTTTCCAGACAGCTGGACAACAGAATATGCATTTGTTGGCGTTTAAAATAATCATTCACCATGTATGCCCTTTATATTCTGTGTTTAAAGATATAAAGATGCCCTGGTTCTTGTCATTGTTGGTAACACTATTGTGCGTGCTTGGATGATAAAAACCCCCTGAGAATGATCTGTTTTAGAGCAGAGTAGACATTGAGTTTATTCTGCTCTCCAGATGGCATGGCCTTCTGAATAAACTTACTTCACAACTACACTGAAGTGTACAGTGACTTCTGGATCTCTACATTAATAATATTATTTCATATAATAATATTTAATACTTTAAAATGTAATTTTCTGGTTAGCAAGGATTAATGACAGTGGGTTCATTGCACTCCGAATGGAAACAACGAAATTTGAGTGCAAACGGGAAAAATGGTGTTTCCTATTATTCAGAAAAATAGAAGCTTTTGCATTTTGCAAATGTCATACAGGTAAATGTAAAATCTTCATTTCTGCACTTCCAAAGCTCTGCTAAGACTCCAGATGGATGACAAAAAGTATCAGTACCACATACTGTACATACCGAGCAAGAAAAAGTAGCCACCAGGACTTTCGACAAATAACAGAAAACGCCAAGAAAAAACATCGTATCTAAATGTCAAAATAAATAAGCAAATGCCCAATGCTTTCAGCCTCCACAACTTTAATGTTCATACAGATGAGGCATGGTTTGATGTCATTCGGTCCAATTTTGTCTCTAACTATTAGTTGGCCTCCACTTTGATCTTAGCTTTCAGATTGGTGCTGCCTTCTCTGACAACTAATAAGGAAGACAAAAGGGTGATCAAAGTATTTTTTTCTGAGGCCAAGTTCAAGCCAGTAAGTCCAGTGCACTTGATCTGATAAAGCTTTATTCTGCCTGAGCCTTTATTTACTATATAGCCATACAAAGAATACACTCTCTTGTGTCTTTGATGTTTTGAAAGAGGTCAAGTGACACATTTTTAATCAGCACTGACACAAAATGGTACAGACTGATAAGGCGAACCAGGCCAATGGAATGTCACTTGATATATCGTGCTATATAACTTGGCCTATTCTAAAATCTAAATGAAACAGCTTTCATGCCAAGTTTCTTTTTTTCCCCAAAGTGAAACAAAATGATGTGTTCTAATTTGTGTATACATTATAATAGACCTCGGGTGGCAAATTTCAACAATGTGTTTTTTTTATGCCATAAGTGCTTAATGTATTCCATAGACATCCTCAATTTGCTCATCTATTTTTAAATTACAAATCTGCCCAGCAGAAGCTGGAGGTCCCAGTGGAAGGTTAGTGTTTCTGACCTGATCTTAAAGCTTGACTGTAGGGTAACGTACTATAACATCAGAGACACATGTCCATTGTGCAAACACTTCAAATATATGGGTCAATACATCAGATGCAAGGATGCACATACTGTATACTGTATAAACAGAGGTCCCCCGAAACAATAAATTACATTAAATGCAATGCTAGCTAATTTATACATAAGAGAACAAAGCACTATATTTCAGAAGCAGATTTCTTTTGCAGGGACAGTTGGTTAATCTAACTAGCAGGAAGTAGCAAGAGACGCCATCTTTGACACCGTACAACACAGTAAAATTGATCTCTTCAAGGCATCTGTATGAAAACTTTGTGATGTAGGTTTTTTCATGTAAGTGATCATGTAAGCAATGTCACGTAAGACAAGTTTAAATATATATACTGCAAAATACCGTATGTACAGTGTCCAGAAAAGTCTGTGACCCCATAATACAGTTATTGGAATTACAGTGTCTTTTCAGCTACTATTGTTTAATTACTGTAAAACCGATCTTTTCATAAGTAACCAAGAGGGTTTATATTTACTAACTCAATGACCTTTAAGATGTAATAGTATATTAAGTAAAGAATTAATACACTGTACATGAGGTAATAAGAGAGGCCCTGCTTCCCACTAACCACAGATGAAGATTTTCCCAAGTGGTGGCACACTGTTGATTAAGCGCCATCAAAGGTAGGGTGGAGCTACTCTCACAAGGCTCTCTGCACTGTCAGCGGCACAGTGTATGAAATGCATTACACGATTCTTAAACATTCAGATTCATGTCAGTTACGTGTGAAAACAGCACATCTCATAGTAGTCTAACAGTTTATCTTCATCAATTTAATAAGAGCTAAGAAATTCAGAAACAAGATAGCGTCGGAAATGACAGCTTTGCTGAACAATAAGGACTCAACGTAACAACATGAGTGTGACTGTAACATCACCAGAAGTGAAATAAAAAAATTGAGGGCTCTGCCTTTCATGAACCTATTTTATATTTTAGGTCAAAATAAGTGTTTGACCCTTGGTGTGATTTATCATAAAAAGAAGCAATATTTGTTTTAGGAAACAGGCTGAACTTTGAATTTTCCGGCATTTGAACAGACTCATCAAAATGTTGTCAGCATGATGAAAAAATCCAGATGGAGAACTTACTGTAAATCGCAACACTATTTCAATCAGAAAGGGGGTGTTGAGCTGGAGGCACAGAAGTCACATTGTTAGTTATGAATGAATGGACACCTTTTCACATGTTTCATACCATAACTGTCTGTGTCATTTGACCCTTTAACAGTTTGTACATATCAGCAGCAGGGATGTAAAGCAGTGACTGTTTACGACATTAACATTTTGAGTGTTAATGTCAGTACCTTCTTTTGTGTCCTGTTTCTCCTCTTCATCTTGCAGATCCGAATCTGGTCCAGGTTTTGGTTCTGTAATCTCCTCATCATCTTCATCCTCTGGGGAAGAAATAACAGCCATGTTTATTATCACCCGTGTGTGACTCCAGCTCCAGGAGACTACTACAAATAAGGCTAAATGCTAACAGACCTCCTACGATCTGACAAATAAATATGCAGCACCAGATGTAGGAAACCAGAACTTCCTCCTCATTTTTAGGACTCAGACTTTCAACAATCTTCTGAAAAAAAAAATCAGCACCACTGAATTTAGTTATTTAAAACAATGAAACAAATAAAAACAACTGCAGAGGGCCAGGCCAGGTTTAATCTTCCATATTTTCTTAAATAAGGAAAAACAGAGGATGAGAACTTTCTGCATTGAACATTATTCAAATGTGATCCCTAAAAGCCAACCGTCTCTTTTGCACAGTATTATCATTTTTCCATTATTCTTGCAGCACACTGCTACAGCGTAACAGAATCATCAAGAATCCCTCTCTTGTGATAATCAAGCAACTGAGAATCTGTCTTCAAAATTATTGATCACTAATTTCTTTAATGACTTGCTACACTTCAATTTTTTAAACATACACTATATGTGACCAGCGTGCGAAAACCAGAAACTGGAAATTTGTAAATGAAACCTGTTCTCTTCTTTTTGTGCATGACAAAAAAATAAACTGTATGCTGAAAACAACATAAACAAGCAAAGGAAAAAAATACTGGAGGATTACAGCTTTCAGACTAATTTAACAATGTGCGTACTCAGTCATAACAGCAGCCCAGAAAAAAAAACATCTATTCTCTTGCTGAGGACTCTTAATGGGAAACAGCAAGAGGCACCTGCTAAGTCCTGCCTGTGGCAATTTTCCATCCTTAATGACCTTGGAATGTGTTCCTAACCTCTGGGCCTCAGGCTTCTATGGCATGAGAGCAGATGCAAGCAACACTGAGTCTGCAACCCTCTGCGTGCCTGGCACCTGTAGCCATGAAACTGCAGTTTCACGCCAACCCTCTGTGGAGTCATTTTCAGGCTGACCTTCTCCAAGGGGTTAAATGAAGGCCTGACCCAGGGTCATATACTTGAGACAATTTAACAGTATGTACGTTGTCCCAGGCAAATGTAGAAACAAGAACATTTTCGAAAAGAATTAGTGAAGAACATGATTTTATTAAATTCAAGAAGCATAACGTAAATCCATAGTTTACTAAGTGGCCCGGAAGAAAGCGCAGTGACTTAAAGCTATGAGTTCAGATGTAGTATTACTGTAGCTGAATCAAGTAGATGATGAGTAATGCTCCGTCCACGAGCCATCTAATATTCCCAGATTCTGGTCACAGGGTCCAGTGTACTGTTTTTTAAAGAGCAGTGTAAAAATGTCATTCTAATCAAGATTTTAGATAAAATATACAGTACATTTATGATCTAAAAAGGCAGTACAGAGTTGCCGGAAAAAAACTGTGTTACTTTGGTACTTATCCATTCATTTTCTAACTGCTTTATCTAATACTGCGGATCCAGAGCCTATCCCAGGAAGGAGAAACAGGAGCCTCCTGAGCCCATTAATCTGTAAAGGTGCCTGGTTTTTCACAGGTTTAGCATACTTGCAACAGGACAAGCATAAAGTGGGATTAGTCAGCCAGGGCTCTCTTGGAAATCAGCAACACAGTGACCCCTGTGACCTCCCGGGCACTTGCAGGAATGCTGCAGTTTCAGCAAGGAACATGTCTCTTAATCCAATTCGGGCTGAACTTCCAGTACAGGGCTATGGTGCCTTGTGACATCTTTGAAAGACACGTGGCTTAAAGGCAGGCTGATCAGAACAGTGGGCTCACACTTCCTCATTCTCCCTTGTGCGGTTACAGGGTCAGTAGCAGGTACAAAGCACACAAATTCAATGATGATTCTAAATTAAAAAAAAAGACATGTAGGATATAACTTATATTTCTTTCATGTCAACTGTGTGTGGTCACAGCAACCATTATTCACACTTACAGTAATCCTGGTTTATGTAATAAAAATGTGTTAGAAATAAAGTGAGCATTTCCTATGCAATTAGAGTAAATGGCTGAGAAGGAATTTCACTTTTGGCTCAAGTGTAAACTAATAAACTCCTTGTTATAAAACACCACAAAACAACTAAGTTAACAGATATCTTGCTTTAAAAATGGCAAAAAATCAACAACGGCACAGAAAAATAAGCAGGCAACCTTTTTTTCTGTTTTTTTTTTTCAGCTTTAAAGACCATATAACTGCTGAATTTGCACAGCTACTGTACTGCACTCTAACACTAGATCTTGCAGAACCTTCACACAGGCATTCAATTAGTATTACAGTCTTATTAATGAGCTTCCTGAACCACATGAGGCTATGAAGCTATGTACTTCTAAGGAACTCTGTGATGGTTTAATTATGTCCCTGGGAATAAGGTACACACCAAAATTCAATTTGGCATCTGTATATTAAATTTTGCAAACTGCTATTGTAGTAGCACTAGAATATGTCTTAGAAAATGCATTCCAGTTTAGGCTTTCCACTCATTTGGTTGTTATGTTGTCATTCTGATACTGCAGAAATTGTTTGCTTAATCCACCCAGGAGTTAAGTTCTTGAGATGCTTATATTTGCATTTGGGTTTTAATGTCCTGATCTTTGGGAATGTCTTCATATTATTTTCCCCAGACTCTAAAATAGGCTACTGCAGGCTACTCACTCTCCAAAGTGAGCAAACCGCTCACACTGATTCAGAATGAATGCAGATCGTTGATGTAATTTGGTTGACCCCAAAAGTGGTTTTGCTGAATGTGACAGCTCCACAGAGCCAGAAACCAGAAGAGAACACAGGATTCTCAGCCCAGACAGGCAGCCAGCCAGCCCAGCCAAAGCACAGGCTATGTGCATGATGTACTATATAGTACTGTATGTTCAAACAGTGTTAGCTCTTAAACGCCGCCCCCCCTGAAAAACAACCAACCAAGCAACCAAAGGAACAAGTTTCCTCCCAAATTCCTGGAAAAAAAAGTTTGATGAAGACAGGACCTACAGCATTATTTTGGAGTGACGAAATAAAAGTCAAATTTGTTGCTGTTCAATGATAATTTTATTGTGTTAAGTTCAAGACCTTTATGGCTGTCATTTCAACCACTAAGAGAACTAAGAATGTCTAGAGGCCACTTTCTGGGGTCAGTTAATCCAGCAGGCTTGCTTGTTGCTGACAGTTAGCACAATGTCACTTCTTAGAACTGAGCTGTGTTTAGGTATCAGGTCCCTACATGTCACAGACAACAGTGAGGATGTAGAAAAACAGTTGTTAGATAACATACTGTATGTCCTTAGTCACAACAATCCAGATAAGAGACAGCAGGGGGATTCATGGCCACTAACATTATGTTTAGGTCACACAGCACGTAAGAAGCATACAGGTAGTTATCTTATTTATACACTTACCTATATCCAACAATCAATCTGTTTGGTTTAAAAATATAAAAAAAACAATGATGTTTAATTGGGGCTCTATATTGTACACTATGTGTAGTTTACAAACTTAAGGAAGAGGCATACTGTACTTGGAAGTTTCTTTTCATACATACTGTAGGACACAGAATACAGTATGTCCTACAAAATAATAAAAAAGTATATTAAAAAATAAAACACTGAGGTCCAATAGATCCACATATTTATTTTAAACAAACACTGCTGTGAAAAAGTCTTAGACATTTTAGACATAAAGAGCTGATCAAATCTAATTGACTCAGAGTCAGGTGTTCCTTGTCATTAACACCACATGCTCTTCTCTACACATCTAAAATGTATCTAGAAGCTACTTTTTATACTACAAATACAAATCAATTGGGACTGTTGTTACTTAAATCTGAACGGATTTAGCTGTATATTACCAATAACCTGTGTTTCTGCATAGAACTGGAAAGCACTGAGAGCAGAACTGAGTGCAAAATGTCTGAGACTAAGAATCTCACAAAATAAAAATACAGATCAAAGAACTGCAATACATTGTCAGCATTAAATGACACTTTGTTGAAATGAAATTTTATGACATTAGTATCATGTATCACTACCATCAGCATTAACACAATCTGGGCAGCTCTGTAACATAGACCTGATCAGCTATGGCACATCTTGGCCAGATTTTCTTCTTTTAAGGGCACTGGTAAGATGGGAGCACAGATGTTCTGGTCGAAACTTGGCCACGACAATATCTCAACACTGTTATCCTGAAATTGTTCTGTTGAAATCCTAGAACCTGTGTGGTCTTCTGTTGTCCTGCTTTAATCTCAGATGTTGTCTTCTGTCAGGAAGCAACAGCTCTGTGCCAATATTGTTACCCTGTGCTTCCAGAATCAGAATGTTGCCTGTCCCTCACAGACCCAAATCAACATTTGGTTTCTCTGGGCTGGTTGATTGTAGATGCAAACCATTTCAGTTTCTGAGCAGCTTCTCACACAAATAGGCCACTTCAATCATGCTAGCCAGTAGGTAATCTTTTTGACTCAAGAGCAACATGGGTGGATGTTTCACTGTTATTGCATTAATTAATTATGCCATTATAAAGATTCTTGATCAGCTTGTTACGGCAGTTTCACCTTAACTGAAATGCTTAACACTGAGCAACTGTTATTTTTATGAAATCACACTAATTAAGCTCAATATTTTATATCTGTAACATCTACAAACCTTAACCTTAATATTTTCACTATTTAAAATGTAACCTTAGGTTGTTGTGTTTTCATCACAACAGCATTGCAATGGTTTATACTGTATATAGGGAAACACTGTCGTAAAATGAAAAGATACAGTTTTGAAGTATTGATTTGCCTGTTTTAATTGAATCAGGGATTATAATGCCTCAGCAGGACTGGACATTAACTAAGTGTCAGCTGTGTCTAAGCAATGAGATGTTTCATGAAATTGAACTGGTTTCAGTATCTTTTGTAGCAATCAGGAAATACTAGCTGCAGAGGTAATCATATCTTCCTTTCTCTGCTTAGCAGTATTTCATATCTTCTTGGCTTCCTCATGCTGGTAATTCCAATTTAAAT